GGGTCGCAGTGCGCGACTGCTCTTCTGAAGTGAAACCTATATAACACAATTAAAAATATTTGACCAAAGAAAAACCGGAGCAGGACTACAGAGAGAAATAAATATGATTTAGATTTTATTTCTGTGACTTTATACGACCCACAGGAGACACGACATTAACAGCAGTTGTCATTTCATTCCTTTAGTTCCACAGCTGATGCTGCTAAAAATGACACTTTTTTGTGGCTCTCCGAGACCAGAACTTCAATCTCCGAACTCGTAAAGTTCTTCTTTTTTTTACTTTGCGATATCACTTATGAATGAACACTTCCTGGTGTCTGGGGCAGGAAAGCTATATCCTTATATGGTGTTTTTTGGGGTGGTTATTATTACACTAATTTCCTCTCCCCGTGCACGAGCACCTGATACACATTCATCAGTTTACGCTTTTCCTGAAGATAGAAGAGTTTGTTGAATCTGACGTGACATGTTTGTTCGAACCCTTCGTACGAACAAAAGTAAGAGAAATTTAGTATAAGAATACGAACATGTTCTTGCATGAGGCCCGTTGTGATCATTCAATCACGAACTCCCTTTAATATTTCCCTTTAAGATTCAGCACACTGATGCTTCTGCAAGTGAAGAAAGCTATTGTTCTCTGGTTGTCAAACATACAGTATGTATCATTATTGTGGCACTAATCGGAAATAAAAAAAGGAAAGAAGAAGCAGGTGTGTATTATATTATAAAATGTTAGCACTCAGAATATGTCGGATCAGCTACTACCTCACAAAATGTTCGGTAAGACTGGTAAATCTGGCTGAATTTGAGTTTTACAAATGCTTACGGGTTCAGAGCTTTGGTGTTTTTCTGGAGTGTAATTTTAGTGATGGTAATAAGGTCGATGCGACCTCAACATTTTCCACACTTTTTTAATGCTAAAGAAAGCCATTCGTCCTCCTGCAGGTCATACAGCTGCAGTCTGGTCTGAGGGCGAGCGCAGAGTTTCAGGGAGGGTTAGCCATCGACATTTCTGGAGGGATGGAGATAAGTCTGTGGTACAGGGAGTCCAAGACCAGCGTCAACAACAGGTACTGTTCACACACAAAGAACACAAACCACTTTTTACACATGTTAATGCTGTGCATGTGAGGGTCGAGACCTCCTTTTCAGCCCTGGATTATCTCACCGGATCTGTGTGAGCTCGCCCTCTTGGAGGTCAGAGGTCCTGTTTGATCGTGGCACGGTTCTCAGAAAACCATCTTAGTGGTTGAAAAGGAGATCGTTTAAGAGCCGCGTCACTCGTCCGTGTATCGATTTCTGTTTCAGTTAAATTTATCTGAACTTTAGACGATATTTATAAACTCGCCGTGTGATTCATTTGTTCCACTACCACCTCCACCGGGCTGGCCACGCTCCAGCATTGTGCTTCACGCCTGTCTCCTTTCTCTTGTGTCGGTGACGTCAGTTCTGTCTGCTTGGCTATTTAAAAGCATTACGGTCTAAGCGCAACAGTAGCTGCTGAAAATGGAGCACGTCATCACCGTGGAATCGGATAGCTCACGGCATCTGGTGATGAAACAGAGGGGTTTAGGAGTAACAAATCTGTATTTTAACTCTCAAATACTGATTAATTTTCCTGCACTTGATACATACATATGTTTCAAAATGATACATGTGGGATACTTTACTTTAAATTGAGGTTATAAATTTTAATAACCCACGCATGTGCTTTACTATACCCAAACTATAAGGCACAACTTCTAAATGAGAGTCTCTTAGACATGCTGGAGGCTCTGGTGAGATTTTCTGTTCGGACATTTCCTCCGTTTCTTGACAGCAGCAGAGGGTCACGTCTTGGAGTGGGCCTTCAGGATTRTGTGTGTGTGGGAATGGCAGAGGCAGGTGAATGGATCAGCACGGCCGTACCTCTTCCACTCTGATAATAGATCGGGCAGCTAACTATAGATTCAGAGCAAACCATGCTGGCATCTTTGCCACAGCCTCCCTGGGTAAAGTTAAAGCGGTTGGATTACCTTTACTTTGATTTGAAACCTTTAAAAAAACTACGTAAGTGTGACAAAGCAATATAAAACACAGATTTATTATGTCTTGCTGTTTTTTGTGTTAGCTTTTAACAATTATGGCTTGAATCTGTTTATTATTTATAAGTAAGATGACGTCATCGTTGGAAACAGTTCCTTCAATTGAAATGTTCCTTATAAGTGTGGTGGATGAGGCAGAGAAGCTGAGCATTTTAAAATTTCTAATTCACTGGAAATAAGTCCTACATAAATATAAACAGTTTAATTACATTAATTTATTACTACCAGGTTTATTCAGTCTATTCTCACACTATGTGTTTTTGCTGTAAAAATAATAGTTTTTAGAAATAATCCCTTTAATTTTATGCATATTTTTACACACATTATTATGAGATTCCATCGATACACAGCATCCAAATAATTATTTTTGCTTTTTTTTGTAAGTGATAATAATAATCACCATMAGTATAAAAATATGTATTTTATATACACATTTTACCAGAAAAAATTTATTTGAAAACATATWCTAGCCTATTATTTATTTTTTTCTCCCTAAATAAAAATACACACAGTATACTTTTAAAATTATTATTTTTCTAAGTGTGATTGTAATGTTATTCATTTGATTATGTTGTTGATGGTAGCCGTGACACATTTTAATAAAGGAAATTAGTTGTACGGCTGACAGTTTTAGATCTATATAGGCTCCTATACAGCCTCAGATGTTTGCTGCCATTTCCACTGAACCTTGTTATCTTGTGGTTTGTCTTTCCAGAGGAGCATTAGTGTTCACTGGTAATATAACAGTGGACATGGACTTCCTGAGAGCCGGTGTGGAGGTCAGCTTTGAGACAGAGGCGTCGCTGGACTTCATCACCACAGTGCAGTTCTCTGAGTACCCCTTCCTGGTGTGCATGCAGATGGACAAGGCTACCTTCCCAATCAGGTAATCTTTAAACCACAAAAGAAGAAAATCATCATCATCAACAACAACAAGTTCTTATTATTAAATCAATGTCTGCAAAACTCAGCTTCTTGTTTGTAATTTCCTTTTTTTAGGGAATACCTGTCCAAATATGAGAGCGTGTCGTCAGGGAGGAGCATCACGTCCCATAAGAGYAAAAAGCATCTGGTACCTGGCTCTGAGTTCCCTCTTCATCAGGAGAACTCAAACATGTGCAAAAGAGTTTTTGACTCCAACTGGTAAACAAGAGACTTTGAACTAATGCTACCATTCAGGGACAGGTGGGAATAAGCTCCTCTTTATTTCTCAAGTAGTGACAGATCATGGAGATGAAATGTGGTGAATTTTTATTTTATTTTATTTTTTGTGACATAAGTGTTTACAATGTTTTGTTTATTTAAGTCATTTTAATTAAATATTTCGTTTTAAATCAGGAACTCTCACCATGCGTTTCTAAGGATTTTTTTTTTTGAGAACTGTATTTATGACTGGCACAAACTGTAATGTATATTTTGATATGTAATACTCACCATAAATAATACCATTGATTATTTTTCCCATCACTGTTAAGGAGGTACATGTAAATATCACACTGGAGCCCCATTTCAACAATACTCTTTTCTTTTGTTTATTTTAATCTGTGTGTCAAAGAAGGAGCATTTTATTTCACTGTATCACTGCTCAAACATGTAAAATAAATTGGATTTTAGGATGATTGTATTGCTCAGTTTCTCCTTTTTCTTTTTTAATCTTGTTTTGTTGTTCTGATAAAAATAAAACAAATTGTGTACTTTTTTGTAAGAAAATGAGGAAACAAAGGTGAATCAATTGATCTTTTAATTTTATTTACATAACTGGGATTTCTGTATGTCTTAAAAAGTCTGAGAATTTGAGCAACTCTGACCAAGTTTTCCTTATACTGTATAGGATTCTAGTCGATTTGTTCTTGACTCACAATAAATGTGCCCTGAAAACATCTTCTTATCGCCTTCCACCAAAGGCAAAGGAGTGATAATGTTTTTTCCTGTGTTTGCATGTTTGTCTGGTAGCAGCAAATGACATGAAACAGTGGGTGGAWGTTAATGAAACTCGCAGAAAGTAATCTCTGTGTATTTACGATTTCTTATCATTTGGAGTCAATCCCAACTCGAGATGGCYATCGCAGCTAATTGACTTTAAACARTACAGATATGGCTACAAATTGGTCARCTTTACAGATATTGAGCTAAAATTTAATGTTGCGGCTGAGAGTCATTCAAGAAACACGGTTTTAGCGTGACATTTCACAAAACTGCATATTGAGCAATCTTTTTAAAGTTTGGCCAAAATGGTTACAACTCTGTCCTTTCTCATCATCAGATGAGCTGAGTCGAAAATGCGGAGATGATTCAAGGAATTCCAGGGTTTTAATTTTAAGTTAAATTTGCAATGGCATTTTGTAATCAAAAATGCTTAAAAAAAGGCAGAAATAAACCCTTTGGTTTTCTGAAAGCATGCAGTTTGTCAGTAGCCATATTTTAAAGAAGCCCACCTCTGGCAGTATTGACGAGACTTTAGTCTCCAAATACAAAATGTTCTTTCCTGGCTTAAACACGACACTTGCTTGTTATTCCAGGTAAGGCAATAAATCTTAACTCGTCCCATGTCACAACTGTGACATCAGAGCCCCTGCTGGCATCCAAAAGCAACAACTGGGTCCTAATGTAGATTCTTTAGAAAGCACTGAGAGCAGCTGGGGGCCAGCGAGTGTCTGCCAGTCTCGGTGCATCCAGGGCAACCGGGTAAACAGCGCAGCAAACTGTCAGGTTAAACTTAAGCCCCGTGGGGTGTTTCAGTGTCACAAGAAAACTAAGCTCGCACGCAGCCACATGCCAAATGGGCACTTCTGGTGGCATAAATCTACTTTACTGCCGCTCACTTGTGTTTTTCTAATTATTTTTTTATCTCAATTCATATATGATCTGGGCCTGTGTGCTATTAGTGGCAAATAAATTAATTGCTGAAATACAAATAGGTACAAAATGTACCAAAATTGCATACTGTAAATAAATAACTTATCTGGAGAAACACATGAAACGTTTAGTCTCATTGTCAATAATAATTACTATTTTCTGTGGTTATTTTCCTAAATATGAACTAATTAGAGCTTGCTATAATAATATAGTCAGTTGTATTTTCAATTTGTATTTTACACTGCAATTTTGTGCAAAATCTTGTGAAATTAAGTGTCTTTTGGTTTGTTAATATGGTTCAGATCAGTTTCAAAGTCTTCAAATATGCCAGGAGGTTTAACAAAACAACGTTTTGCTCTTCAGGTCAGCAGAGAAAGAAGCAGCTCACCTGAAAACACGTTTAATGAGTTGAACAATAGTTATTTTTGCATCACCTGTTGGCCTAAAAGAGATAAAATAATCATTTACTAAATCTCTTCACAAGTTCTTTGATTAAGAAGAAAGTGGATTGATTAAAAGAAAGGGTCAGATCTTTTGAACTGAATTCTGTGAAAAGGTTACAAGCCATCCAAATCGAACCTGTTTTAGATAATGTTGCCACTATTTATGCTCGGAAAACTCCTAAACTTGTCCTTCATTCATTAAAGAGATTTAACAAAACTTTCAGAACAACTGCAGTCACATTCAATTTAATTACAAACTTAAACTGATTCACATGGACACAAACATGTTCAGTGTCTTGTATTTTGAATTTATTGCAAACAAATAGGCTTTTCAATCCACATTAAAGTCATTCATCACTCCTCTTTCTTTCAGCACTGTAAATGCAAACATGGCATTCGCTTCTTATTTCAAGTTTTCTTTCCACGTTTCAGGTCATCCTCCACGTTTTCTGAAGCAGCAACACACCGAACAGCAGCATTGTTACATTAAAAAGTTTTATAATCTTAATGGTTGTAGGGCTTTATTTAAATGTGTGTTGCTTCTTTCATAACATTCAAGCACTTATCGCAGACCATTTCACATTCACTCCAACTCATTCCTTATACATTCCTGATACAAAACCAAGCCCATATAATATAATTTCCCGTTATTTAAAGGGGTAGTCTAGAAATTGTTTTAAAGTGATGTTTTGTCAAATAGCTTCATCAGTCACAGAACACAACAGGAAAGGCCAAAGTCTTCATCCAGTCTAATAGCCCAGCACAGCTATGCTCAGCAAACATAGAAACATGGATTGTTTGAGAAAACAATGGCAAACTAAACAAATGGTGCTATGTATAAACGTAGAGGCTTAGCATTAGTTAATGTAGCATTCTTTTACACCAGTTTGATATTTTTAAGAAAAAAAGTTGTGTTTTAGAAGCTTGAAAAACAATATTATGTTAATAGGCTAACGGATAGCCAAACAAATCTAATCATTAGCCTAAATTGAAGGAAGACTTTTTGCCTCTATCTCCATACTCCATGCTCTATGACTGATGTCATGACTAAATAGCCAGAGGGGTTGGTAAATGGTAAATGGTAAATG